CTCTCTCTCTCTCTCTCTCTCTCTCTCTCTCTCTCTCTCTCTCTCTCTCTCTCTCTCTCTCTCTCTCTTCGCGGCTAAGGTAATTCAAAAAAAGGATGAAAGTACAGTCTGGCTGTACTTGAAACGTTGAACGATTGTATGAAAGAGAGTGGGGAAAAAAAGGGGGAGCGAGGGAGGAGAGAGGGAGCTTGACTTATCAATTCCGACTCGGAATAATTCACGCAGCACGAAGTACAGCTTAGTACACACAACTGTTGTAGACGTAACCGACAATGTATTGATTGAAGGCCAAAACAAATAAGTCGTAAGCGCTCCCCCGAATAGCGCTACTCCTGAACATGTTCCGCTCAGGCAAATACCACCTTCGGCGACCCAAAACTCGACCAACTTCCCCCAAACCCTGTATCAAACAGACAAGACTGAAGCACTGGCCTCGTGAGAGATGTACTTTGACTTTCATCTCCAATTGCTACACGCCTCTTGCTGATCCCTGCACTGTCGAAAGTGGATGAACTCTTCAGTAAACCGTCCTGTATACCGCTACCACTGAGTAAAACCCACGACCGCCACGAAAGCTTCCACAGATGATTGTGCCTTTTGCAAGCTTGTCACGGGACTTGGAACGAGGAATGGTTGCAAGGCATAGGCTTGTGGGCAATGGGGAGGCACAGCAACGGGTGGCAACCCGGCAAAGCGCCAAGCAACACTGCAGAGGCAACACGGCTGCTCAGCGCCGAAGACTACTGCAAGGAACAACATGGCAAGCGGACATGCAGCACGGGAACCACGTAGTGAAGCACAAGGAAACACCGACAAGGCAGCCACACACAGCTGCAGGCAACAACTCGGCGAAGCACCAGGCAACGCTGTCGGAGCAACCTAACTGCACAGTGGCAAAGACTACTGCAAGGAAGGATAGGGTGAGCATACCAGCAGCTCGGCAAGCAACAACTCACCGAAGCACCAGGAAACGCTGTCGGAGCAAACCTAACTGCACAGCGGCAAGGACTCTACTGCCAAGAAGGACGGGGCAAGCAGACGAGCAGATCGGCAACCATGTAGTGAGGAACCAAACTACAAGACCCGCAAGCAACGGGCACGGAGGGCACAACTAGCGGATGGGCTGCAGGACGGCGGAGCAACGAAGCTCAAGGCAACACCAACAACACAGTAAACACATCAGCTTGCCAAGAACGAGAGGAGCGTGTGAACCTCAGACTGTTGGTTTCCACAAACTGCAAGCGAAGGGGGTGGCAAGGCAGTGGCGGAGTGCAGACGAGGCAGTCCACACCTCCAACAGGGAGTAAAGTGGCGCATCTCCTACTCGCATCACAAGCGAACCCCACAGAGTGTTGGTTTCCACCACCCACTGAGCCAGGGAGTCACTCTGACGAACATCCGTCATCATGCGTAAGACAGACAGACATCCCAAACTGAGCGCCCCCCCTAAGAGTGCTGCAGGCTCGCCAAACCAGGAATGAACGACTATTTGGCACTGCTTAAAGGTGCTCACTTGGGCATACGAGAACAAAATGGCATCCCAAACTGAGCGGCCCCGCTAAGAGTGCTGGAGGCACGCCAAACCAGGAATGAACGACTATTTGGCACTGTTTAAAGGTGCTCGCTTGGACATACAAGAAAAACATACAAAGAAAAAAAACAAGCAACAAGAGGAAGGTAGAGATACATGAAACTCATTTTGTGTGTGTGAAAAAGCATGTAGGATATCCTCCGCACAGAGACACTGCACCATATCGACTTTTAGTACTCCAGGTGGCAACGTGCATCTGACTGAAGGCGTCGCCACACAGCATAAGGAATGAAAAACGAAACGAGTGAGTTTTTCACAGAAAATGGCCTGGTTCATCGGTTTGCTATAAATTTTGCCACTTTTCGTTGGCAGGTGCACGACCCCAGCCTGGCAGAAAATTAACTCGTCCGTACTACCGCAACTTTCGGGGGCAGGCCACTGTTGATACATTTCACCAATGGTCTTTGGTGCTTTCCGGCCTCCGAAAATCGGGGTGAGGGGTCCGCGGCACATGTATGGCTGTGTAGTGGTGGTTTGAAGTAGAGTATTGCAGGTCCTCTTGACATACGAAGACACAAGAAAGCACAAGTACAAAACTGAAAGGCGGACAAATGATAGTGAAGCAAAGAGCATGAGGCTACAAGCATACAAGATGTCAGATGACAAGGAACAGCAACGGACGTAGGCCCTTGTTCCACTACGCACCACATGCACAAAAAACGTATCTTCCCGTGTTCTAGCAGAAGATTCATTCTCATTTTGTGCATTTGGTGAGTAGTGGAGCAATGCCCATAGGCTGGAGGGTAGAGGGGAGGTGTGTGTGGGGAGATGAACAGCACAAGGCAAGGGAGGAAAAGGTAGCGAGGGGAAAAAGGGCAGCAAACAAATGCGAATAAAAGAACTAAAAACAAGTAAAGACTGGAA